AGAGAGAGAGAGAGAGAGAGAGAGAGAGAGAGAGAGAGAGAGAGAGAAGAATGTAGGTCATGACAATGCCATGTGCTCAAGGTGAGACGAGAACTCACAGAGGAGGAAGAAATAATCTGTCAGAAGTTAGGGAAAGAGCTAGGTCATTTATATCTAAACAACATGAGATGATGGACAGAGTTTACTTCTCCTCCACCCTCATCTATCACTCCCTGACTTACATGGTGCTTACTGAGCTTCTCTCGGTTCCTCTGTTGCAGAACCTCCTAACCTTACTGAGGTGAATGGATTGGAGGGTCCATGGTACTCATGCTCTGAATCCTTGGAGTGGCTGGCCAAGGCAGCCCAGTCACTGCCCCAGTGAGCCACAAAGTGTGATCATTTCCTATATAAGCTTTTGTGTGAAAAATGGGAAGCATGCGTGAATACAATGTGCACTTGCACCAAAAAGCCTTACTAGACCCCCCACTCAGTCTGGTAAGGTCCTCTTGCTCGTTCCTAGAGCCGCTGGGGCTTGCCCTGTCACAGATGTATCCTGCACCCACCTGGTGTGCATCCTCCACCAGACTGTAGGCTTGCCTCTCTCGCTCACCGTGACTGCTCGGTTCCTGGCACATGAAGGGCTCAGTTAAATGTCTGCTAAAGGAAGTGGGCTAGCTCATCCTTGATGAGCAAAACAGTCTGTGTTCCTCTCAAATATTTTGCTTGCCAAATTTTGGGTTCATTCTTTATCCTCTCCCACATCTCACCTTTCTAAATGATTGCTGGTTAAAAAAAAAATGTCTTCTTTGAGAATGATTCTTAACACCATTTCTTCTTTTATGCTTCCTCTGCAGACACCTAAATGAAGCCCCACCTCACCGCTGGCCTGGATTACTGCAGTCGCCTCCTTGCTGGCCCCTCTGCCTCCAGCCTTACCTTCATTTTGCTAAAAAAGATAAATGTTTGCTAAATATTTTCCTAAAACATCTCCCTCCAGGACAGTCTAAGCTCTTTAGCTTTGCCATAGAGAACTTCTACCATATGGCCTCGACCTCCCCATACAGCTTTATTTTCTACAACCTCCCTACACACCTCTTCCCTCCCAGCCACTAGTCTCATTGACTGTGTGCGTCACACCTGCCCGCTGTGTGTGCACGCCATTCTTCCACCTGCAGGGCCCATGTTTCTCCTCTGCGTCTCAGAAGCCTTGCGCCCCAGCACATATATGCTCCTGTGAACTTCCCATCCTGGCAGTGCCCTCTTGCCCATTTCCTCAATCTCTCACTTGTCACTTACCATCCCCTGCCTTAGATTATGATTCCACATTCATTCCTCATCCACTCAACGCACATCCATTGAGTGTCTACTGAGTACCATGCACTTAAAGCTGAGGATTCAGAGAATTAGACTCTGCTGCTGCCTTCAGGGAACTCAGATACAGAGATAGATGAGTGCAGAAGTTGTGCACTGCCATGCTTAAAGTGAGACGAGACCTCACGGAGGAGGAAGAAATTATCTGCCTGAAAAAGTTAGGGAAGGAGATAGTTCATTTGTATTTAAGCAGCATGGGGTGATGAACAGAGATCACTGTTCTCTGTGTTGGAATCCTGGCTTCACAACACATTACCTCCTACCCTCTATGCCTCCATTTACCCACCTGTAAAATGGGAATAATATCAGGTACCTTGTAGGGTCATGGTGAGGCATGAATGAGATCATGTTTGTGAAAAGGGCTTAGCACCAAGGTGAGCCTGTACAGGTGCTCAACAAGTGTGAGCTCCTTCCGGCAGCTCTGGGCCAACCTTCCATTCCTTACAGCGCCCGGACATACTGTTATCCTGGTGACTATCTGTTAATTTGGTTGATTTATATTATCATGGAAATTTCTGCCATATCAAGAAACAGAGCCGCTGGGAGCCAGGCTATTTTAAGTATTCCAGAAGGGATCTATTCCTCTCTCTGAGAACCATGAATTTGGCATTTGGCATTTGGCAATTTGACCTGGCAAAAGATACACGGGCAAGAACTGTGCTTTCGCATCTTAGCAAGAAGAGCTGGGGGCTTGCCAAGGAGTCCGGGCCATCAAGCCAGGAGGCAAAGCGCAATAGTGTCCCCGGACCTGCCCCACCCCACTAATGAAGCCCAGGGCATTCATGAGCCCAGCTCTTTGAAGCCACTCTATGAAGCTCATACTTCATTGATGCACAGCATGGCAGAGGAGTCCTGACTTAGCGAGAAGCCCAAGTAAAGTCTTTTACGAGGTGAGGGACTCTTCTGAGGAAACATAACAAACCGGGGGGAAGGGCTTTTGACAATCACCAAATGAGTAAGAAAAAAGGGAGCCCTTCCATGTCCACACCCTCTGTGGAAGGGGTATAAATGCTCCCCAGGGGCAGGAGACCCATAGCTCTGTGGCTTGGAGAACTTGAACTCCGTGTTCAGCCGGGCGTCTCGCTCCCTCCTTCCTGCACCATGCCTTACAACTGCTGCCTTCCCAACCTGAGCTGCCGCTCCACATGCAGCACCCGGCCCTGCGTGCCCCCCAGCTGCCACACCTGTACCCTGCCCGGGGCCTGCAACATCCCCGCCAACGTGGGCAACTGTGGCTGGTTCTGCGAGGGCTCCTTCAATGGCAGCGAGAAGGAGACCATGCAGTTCCTGAACGACCGCCTGGCCAGCTACCTGGAGAAGGTGCGCCAGCTGGAGCGGGAGAACGCGGAGCTAGAGACCAGGATCCGGGAGTGGTGCCAGCAGCAGGTGCCCTTCGTGTGCCCCAGCTACCAGTCCTACTTCCGGACCATCGAGGAGCTCCAGCAGAAGGTGAGGGGGTGCCATGTGGGGGCACAGCAGCAGCTGACTGTCTTTGAACAATAAGACATTCTCAAGTTCAAGTGGCCCTCACAGTAGAATCTTGTTTTCAGATTCTGTGTGCCAAGTCTGAGAATGCCAGGCTGGTGGTGCAGATTGACAACGCCAAGTTGGCCTCTGATGACTTCAGAACCAAGTAGGTTGAGACTTTTAGGCTAGGTGACCCCTAAGGTCCTTATGGCTCTCTCATGGCCCCGTGGGACTAACATTTCCTGGAAGGGGAGAGGCAGCCATTCTTCCCTTTTGATTTCTCTTCTCAAGCCTGGCTTTATCTAAAACTGGTTTCAAACAGAGATCCAGACTCATATGCTGTGTGCACTTCAGCCTATATTGCTATCTATGGAAGGCCTTCTTAAATCCCCAAATTCAGAGATTGACAGAGACTGTTCTATGGGGAGTGGTGGTATATTAACCAACAAAACTGAGAGGAAAATGACAGACTCCATCTTATGAGTTCTTGTGGGGACCTTCTGGTGTTAGGGTGAGTCAGGGGCCTCTCCAATCTATTTGTGCAGAGCTTGAGGGAAACATGGAAGAAAAGGGGAAGAAAACTGTACCAGCTCAAAGAGATGGAGGCCAGTCCATGCACACAAGACACAGAACAGGGGACTGGCTTCTTTCCTGCCTCATCCTTTCTGATCTGTGTGTGCAGGTATGAGACGGAGATGGGCTTGAGGCAGCTGGTGGAGTCGGACATCAACGGCCTGCGCAGGATCCTGGACGAGCTGACTCTGTGCAAGTCTGACCTGGAGGCCCAGGTGGAGTCCCTGAGGGAGGAGCTGCTGAGCCTCAAGAAGAACCACGAGGAGGTGAGAGGAAAAGGAAAAAAAAAAGTAGGTTTCAGATCCAAGCCTTTAGCATCAGCAACCAGGAGGCAAGTGCCATCAGGCTTCTTGAGCTGGGACTCTTCTCTGAAGAACTCAAGAGTCTTCAGAGAATGATGATACTATACCCATAGCATGTAGGGAGGTGGGTTGCTTATTCTCCAGCAACTGGGTGAGGTTGGGCAGGTGTTGGAGATGCTGAGAAAAGGCATCCATTTATTGAGCCCTGCTCGCTGCTGCTCACTGTTAGTTTTTAAATTTGGTGGTAGAGATGGAAGGAAAAAAAGAACTAAGACATGTTCTCTCTCTTCAACGGGCTCCCAGTGGTCTAGGCAGATGGCTATGTACAAACGATGGTAGAATATGGACAGAGGAAAGTAGTTCCATATGAGAAGTATGAGCAACATATGCAGGGAATAGTCCAGTCTACCTGGAAGGAGACAGGGAATGTTCTCAGAGACATGTCATGGGAAGAATGAGGTTTTCACACTTGGATGTTTCAATCTGGGGGAAGAGACTGAGCAAAGACACAGAGTGGAAGAGCAGGTATATTAGATTTTGGCACATGGATTGATATGGCTGGGCATGCATTACCTATAGGGGTGAGTTGGGAAATGAGGTAGGATTTGCACAGGCCAGGGAGTTTGGACCTAAGTCTTATTGGAAATGTGAGCTTTTTTCAGTTTTTTTTTGGAAATATATTGATGTGATCCCTATTTGGGTCTAATCCTACATCGTATCTGTGTCAGTCTTTGGGAATGATCAGAATATACATTTTTGGCAGGGTTGTGCTCACTTTCCTACAGTAGGAAGATATACAGCAGATCCATTTCTGTGGTTCATTTCTTCCTCTTCTTCCCTCAGGAAGTCAACACCCTGCGCTGCCAGATCGGAGACCGCCTCAACGTGGAGGTGGATGCGGCCCCCACCGTGGACCTGAACCGCGTGCTCAACGAGACCAGGAGCCAATATGAGGCCCTGGTGGAGACCAACCGCAGGGACGTGGAGGAATGGTTCACCACCCAGGTGGGCATCTCGGCACGCGGCCGCCCGGGCCCCTCGACCCCTCGCGGCCCTTGAGGCAGGGTCTCACCCTGTCTCGTCCCCTGTGCTGTTTCAGACCGAGGAGCTGAACAAGCAAGTGGTGTCCAGTGCGGAGCAGCTGCAGTCCTGCCAGGCGGAGATCATCGAGCTGAGACGCACGGTCAACGCCCTGGAGATCGAGCTGCAGGCCCAGCACAACCTGGTGGGTGTCGCTTGGGGTGCTGCCCACCCTCTCCTCACCTGGTGAAGCCCGTGACTTCTCTGGAATCCCACGGAGTCGCCCCCTGAGAAGCGGCTCTGTGACATTCCGTATGTTCCCCACACAGAGGGACTCCCTGGAGAACACGCTGACGGAGACCGAGGCGCGCTACAGCGCCCAGCTGGGCCAGGTGCAGTGCATGATCACCAACGTGGAGTCCCAGCTGGCCGAGATCCGCTGTGACCTGGAGCGGCAGAACCAGGAGTACCAGGTGCTGCTGGACGTCAAGGCCCGGCTGGAGTGTGAGATCAACACGTACCGGGGCCTGCTGGAGAGTGAGGATTGCAAGTGAGTGGGAAGCTAGTACTATTTCCCTTGGGGGTGCATGAGGTTGCGTGGGGATGAGAAATCATCCTGATGGAGACAAATTTATAATTTCAAGCTTTTGGTTGGAGGCAGTGTGAGGAAGTGCTATATTCTTACACAGAGTGCATTTAGTATCTTCCTATGTCTTCAGCTCATTTCCCTCTAATTTGCCCCCATGATCTTCTCTCTCCAGGCTCCCCTGCAACCCATGTGCCACAACCAATGCATGTGACAAACCCATTGGGCCTTGCGTCACCAATCCTTGTGTCCAACGTGCTCGGTGCGGGCCTTGCAACACCTTTGTGCGTTAGAAGCCCCGGTGCCAGCAGGAGGAGAAGGGTTTCAGTCACATGTCAACTCTACTTCATGCAAGCATCTCCTATGGTGACCACAATTTGGACAAAGGAAAAATTTCTACCAGCACCAGCTTCAAAGTGTCAACTCTACCTTCTACTGATTTGCCTGGCTTGATCCTTTAGATGGCAAAGTCTGTACCAGTTCGTTCATCTTCTGAGCACATAGAGAAATCTACAACAGAATCGTGCAATATCTATTATCACGATGACGCACTCGTGTAACAAGTTATGCTTGAACAAATACTTACCTAAATGTGATTTCAAAATAATTACATGAAAGAATGATGGAGCTGATGGGCAGGCTACAAAACTGAACATAATTGGAAAAAAATCTTCCTTGTCACTCTTTTGGTCTTTGGAGATACTACAGTACGGGTCCCTTATTAACTTCCTAATAAACTCTTATTCTGGCACAAACCTAATAATTGTCCTTTTTTGTTCATTCATTCACCAGTTGGGTGTCTTGTATCAATAAAAAGTGACTGGTGTTCTCTCATCAGATGAAGGGGTCATGTGACTTCCTTCAAAGGAAAAGTCTCCAGACATCACCCACCTATTGATGTGAATTTCGGGTATGGGCAGAAGGTGATAGGGGAAAAACTGGTGAATCCACATGATGGTATCTACAAACATTTTCTGTCTAGCTCTTCAGAGGGAATACCACAGAAATGGTACATCATCAGGAGGAAGTGAATCTCGAGAGGAAGCCCATACCTCTTGGCAACATGAAGATACTGAACCTAGAAAAAGACTGGAGAAAATATAATCCGCCAACAATTATCTTCTCGATTTCTATCTTTGTGTATTAGAGAGGTTTTCTTTATAGCCATCCAAATCAAGTTATGGTGATTTTTGTACCTATAGATTTTATAATAACTATTAAAAAATGCAGAAATACATTGTACTTAGGTTCAGAATATCAAGTCAGTTTATTATAGATTATCAAATCACAATGTAATAAAAAGACTTATTTTCAGAGGCACTTGGTGGCTCAGTTGGTTAAGCCCATTTTGGGCTCCATGACTGGGCATGAAGCCTACTTGAAAAAAAAAAAAAAGACTTATTTAATTACATTCCTTTCACCAAAGTATTGTTATTATTATTATTTAATGTTTATTTATTTTTGAGAGAGAGAGCATAAGTGGGGAAGGGCAGATAGAGAGGGAGACCCAGAGTCCAAAGCAGGCTCCAGGCTCTGAACTATCAGCACAGAGCCCGACATGGGGCTCAAACTCACAAACAGTGAGATCATGACGTGAGCCAAAGTCAGACACCCAACCGACTGAGCCACCCAGGTGCCCCACCAAAGTATTATTAATGTTAATATTATTTTTCATATTATTAAATCATGGTATTTTGGGGGAGGGCAAATGTTATACCCATTTAATAATCACAACAAATATAATTGCAAAAGTTTTATCACAGATTACATATTCCTTTAAAAGTTTTTGTTAAGGGGGGCCTGGGTGGCTCAATCCAACTCTTTTTTTTTTTTTTAATTTTTTTTTTCAACGTTTATTTATTTTTGGGACAGAGAGAGACAGAGCATGAACGGGGGAGGGGCAGAGAGAGAGGGAGACACAGAATCGGAAACAGGCTCCAGGCTCTGAGCCATCAGCCCAGAGCCCGATGCGGGGCTCGAACTCACGGACCGCGAGATCGTGACCTGGCTGAAGTCAGACGCTTAACCGACTGTGCCACCCAGGCGCCCCTCAATCCAACTCTTGATTTCAGCTCAGGTCATAATTTCACGGTTCATGAGATTGAGCCCCACATTGGGCTCTGTGCTGACAGTGCGGAGCCTGCTTGGGATTGTCTCTCTTCCTCTCTCTGTCCCTCATTCCCCCCCAAAATAAATAAACTTGAAAAAAATTTTCATTAGTAGCATACAGTGTAAGTTTTGTAACACACATAATATTTTGTGGCATATTTACATATGATAAAATCCATAAAAATAATATATAAGGATAAGTAAACACATTATAGGTGTGTGCTCAGCATTTTTCTGGTAGGAGTGTAAGATGAAATATTGTGAAACCCACCAAGTAGTGAGCCCTGAACCTCCCAGACCCCCTGTGCTCTGTACAGACAGAGATGTCGCTTCAACCCCACCTAAAGTTGTAGGTGGAAACTCTTTGGGATGCCTCATGTGTGACTAAGGAGTTGAAACTAAGACCATTTTGTTTCCATCAAAAAGACTCTTCCTTTTTGAAGTGAGAGAACAGCCTGACATTTACACACGTATACCTTTCCTGACATATCAGTTCACCTAAGATATCCACCTTGTGTGAAATCGTGGGTCTGAAGCACCATGGCCCCCTCTCCCAAGGTTGTTCTGGGCTGTCAGGACACAGCAAGTGCCTATAAGTCACCCCACTGGAGTCCCAGATTCACAGAGAGCCTCTGGGCTTCATTCTTCCCCCTAATTGTCTCCTTTCCCTACGGAGGCTGCGGGTCCCAGGCAGTTGTTCTGCCCCTCAGTAAGACTGCAGTCAAGACCCCAGGCTTCCCCAAAGGGCCTGAAAGGCATGGAAAAGCTGAGACTTCACTTGAGCTTGGCACCACTCACTGTAGCTCCCATGACTCTCCTGGCCCCGGGATCTTCCTGTCCTTTGTAACAAGGAGAAATCAGTAATGGTTCCTAGTCCATACTGTACTCAAATCTGACCCTGCTCTTTACCAGCTCTGGCCCTTGGGCAAGTCCCTCCCCTTCTCCAAGCTTCATGCCTCCTCCCAGCACTCCCAGATGCAATTTAGAAAATGTAAACTCAAAGTAAGTGCAAAACCATCTGCAACGTGCTATGTAGAGGCAAGTGGTTATTCTCTGGTACATCTGACTCCATTGGTTTGAACTGTTGATCCAATGGCCACAATATTAAGTTGAAGAAAGTGACTCTGAAACTAGAGTTTGTGGGTTGGATCCCTGCTCTGCTCTTTAATAGCAGTTTGACCTTCCAAATAACATCAACACGAAGCTCCCCAGTTTCCTCATCTTTAAGGGGGCAGCGATAATAGTGTGTTTTCACAGGATGATCTTGAGGATGGGTGGAGTGAGTACACAGAAGCACACGGGCCTGTGCCTAGTAGAAGTAATCTGGGCTATTGTGAGTCACAGAGTGGCTGCTCTTGGGGTGCAGACAGGAAGAGGTGATCTCAGGTAGTGCTCGAGGAATGCTTTTGGTCCCAGGCAGAAACTGCACAGTGCATAGAAAGTAGCAGGTGAAGATTCATCATGCTGGATGCTGAAGAGACTTGTGGTTTTTGTTTGTATGTTATGATTCCAAAGGAGATTTTTTATTTATTTATTTTTTTTAACGTTTATTTATTTTTGAGACAGAGAGAGACACAGCATGAACGGGGGAGGGGCAGAGAGAGAAAGAGACACAGAATCGGAGGCAGGCTCCAGGCTCTGAGCCATCAGCCCAGAGCCCGACACGGGGCTCGAACTCGCGGACCGCGAGATCGTGACCTGAGCTGAAGTCGTATGCTTAACTGACTGAGCCACCCAGGCGCCCTGGGAGATTTTTTTTTAAAGTGTGCCTAAGTATTAGAAAAACTCTTGGGAGGTCTTCAGACTTTCAAAAGCCATGGAAGTGTTGGGGGTGGTCCAAGCCTATATCTCTGAGAAGAAAAGGGAAGTCCAGCTAATAGCTGGGGTAAAATTGAAGAGAAAATTGCACTAAGGTATTATAAATCTATCTTATATACATATGTGCACATACCAGATACATGCATACACACTGTATATGTACCCACATATATAAACTGTATGCATATATGTATATATACATTATATATTATATCATTACATATTAATGTACATTACATATAATATAGTTAATATAAATACATAACTAATAATATATTAATCTATTCTACATATATTTATTTATTTAGAATTGCTTTAAAAAAGTTTATTTATTTTGAGAGAGAGAGAGAGAGAGAGAGAGAGAGAGAGATAGCACGTGTGCATGAGTCTGAGGGGCAGAGAGAGAGGGAGAGAGAGAGAGTCCCAAGCAGGCTCCACACTATCAGTGTGGAGCCTGATGGAAGGCTCCAACTTACAAGTCATGAGATCATGACCTGAGCTGAAACCAAGAGTTGGATGCTTAACCAACTGAGCTACCCAGGCGCCCCTAACCTATTATATATTTAGACACACACACAATATGTAGGTAGAAAATACGAGAGCACAGCAGAGGATAGAGGATCCAGTGGCCATGAGAAGTGGCCAGATCTGCTAGGCTGGATGGGCGGGGAGTGCTTGGGATTCACCTTCCACTTTCTGTCCCCTCCTCCACACTCTGGAATCCTGGGACTACTCTATTGTCCTGTGAGGTGGGCAGGAGCTCTGTCTACCCTGGAGTGTGCCTTCCCTGCTCAGTCGCCCGAAATGGCAGTGTGCTTCAGATGGTGGAGGATTGTGGCTGGTCTATGCTGTATTTCAGTGACCCCTGGAGCTCCAATTCCATCCATTTTTATTTGTATGCAGTTGGCATTGTCTTTCCGTCCCACATTCAGTGGTGTCTCCACTTACCAATGTTAGCAAAGAACACAAACAACAATCAAGTGAGGGAACCCAAGGCCCAGCTCAGGTCAAGAGTATTCTCTTGTTTTCCAACAAGATTCCTACTTAAAAAATTTTTTTTAATGTTTATTTATTTGTTTTTGAGAGAGAGAGAGAGCACAAGTGGAACAGGGGCAGAGACAGAGGGGGGCAGAGAATTCCAAGCAGGCTCCACACTGTCAGTCAGCACAGAGCCCAACTCGGGGCTTGAACTCATAAATTGTGAGATCATGACCTGAGCTGAAATCAAGAGTTGGACATCCAACTGACTGGGCCACCCAGGCACCCCTGATTTCCACTTTTCTATTTTTTTTAATGTTTTTTTTTGAGAGAGTGTGGAAGAGCCAGCAGGGGATGGGCAGAGAGAGAGAATAGGGGACAGAGGACCCAAAGTGGGTTCTGTGCTGATGGCAGAGGAATGCAGGCCTCAAACTCATGAGCCGTGAGACCATGACTTGAGCTGAAGTCAGATGCTCAACTGACCGAGCCACCCAGGTGCCCCTCCCACTTTTGTAAATCAGTGGTTGGAATGAAGAGATATCAGGAATGAGAACTGTTATAGAGATCAGAACATCAGTCTATGAAAATCATGGGGCAAGGCAAGAGCCAGAGTGGGACTAGAGCTTTTATCCCAAACTCAGAGACCAAGTACTTAGGTGTGGCAGTGAGTTCCAGGGGAAAATACCAAAAACCTTGATTCAGGGTGTGCATACCTGAGGGCAGCTGAGAAGACAGGCCCTCAACACTTGCTCAGCCTTCCCACTTGGGTGTCTCTGGGCCAGCCTCTCCCCTGCGTTAGTGCTGCTGTGCAGAGAGATGCCAGAAGTGCCTCTGAAAGACTCTGGCCACATGCTA